TCAGCGCCGGGAGGACTGGGTGGGTGCCGGGAGCTGGGGGTGGGGGGGTGGGGGAAGGGCTGAGCTTCTGGGCTCTGGTTTGTGCGGGACCTGGCGGTGGGGATTTTCCAAACCCACTCCTCAACGCCCCATATTCATGACATTCTGATGTCGTGCATCAAAGAGAAATGTGAAATTTCTATTGCCTTTCTCCTTTGGAGTTTATTTTTTAAATGACTTGACTTTATAGGATTCTGTTTCCTTCATCTGCTCCCCTCCTCCCCCTGCCCAGTTTTATACCTAGAGAAGCTGCCCCGGTTTCTGCATACTTTCGGTGTTCTTACGTAGCCATTTCTGCCAGGGAGTTGAGTGTAAGCTTTCTTGGAGGCAACCTAAGTAAATGATTATTTTCTTTTGGTGTTGGTGGCTCTTCGCTTTGCTCCTGTTAAAACTGTCGGGGCTGCCGGGAGCTTGGAAGAGGCGATACCAAATGCAACGTGTGCAACTGGTTCTAATTTGTATTTGCAAGGAAACCTAGGACCTTTAGCCCAGTGTTTGTCAATACATCACATTTACCTGTTGTTTTCCTTATCTTTCCCCCCTTGACGGGTTGGTAGAAAACATTCTAAAACTATTGCTGTGGTTTTGCTTCATAAAACAGACACTGACTCCTGAATGTGCAGGGACTTAACGTTTCCTATTTAAAATTAACCCCACATAGTTGAAGCTGCCAAAAGAGGTGGTGTTTTAATGCTGTCATATGGGACGTTGCATTTAATAACAGCTCTCAAAGCATGTAGGCTAGTTGCTACTTTACTGAAACAGAGCAATCTACTGTAATGACTTGATTTTTTTTTTTTTTTTTAGCAAACATTGGTGGAACAGTTATTTCCATTAGAGTTGTTCCTAAGGGGCATCACCCAGGTGTGTGAAATAATAAGGGCTGACACAAATAGTTGCACATTATTTTTATGCCTGGATAAACTTCATTTATCAACATAGGTTTGGCTAGTCTCCAGTTAAAACTATGTTGCTGTTCTCCCTCAAAATCATTCCTTAGGTGTTAATTACTACTTCTCTAACACATCCCAACTTCATTTACCTAAGTCCCCTGTAGAAGAGAAAGGAGATACCTATAACTAGTGGAAAGCCTGAGGAATTCTGTTAAAGGTTACTAGAAAATTGTTGGCAGGCCATAATCATGGCCCTAGAGGAGGGCTAATGTCATTTTAGAAGTCTGTTTATCTGCTTGCTATTCTCTTTAAACCTATTCTGTGCCTTCCAGTTAACATGTTGATAGATTATCTTTTTAGTGTCTTTGTAAGAAAAGATGACAAACTATATCTTTAAAGAAGGGGACCAATGTCTAAAGTGTTAGATGCCAATGAGCAGTAGCTCCTAGTGAATTTCCGAAAACTAAGGTTGAATTGGGTGCCATAAATGCCACTGAAGAAATTACTTTTTTTGTTAATTATCACTTACAAAGGTGGCACTCTGCTTAGAGAAGAGAGATTTTTGAGAGTCATTGTGGTACAATGCAAAGAACACTGAATCTGGAGTCAGAGAACCTTGGATTTAAATCCCGAACTTTGGGCATCCCACTGAACCCCTCTCTTTTGGCCTCAGTTTCTTCTGTAAAATGAAGAAGCTGAACTAGATGACCTCTAAGGTCCTTTCCAGCTCGAAATTATCTTATGAAAATATCCCAAGTAATCTGTGCTCAATGTTCCATCTTCCTTGTCATATGATTCATCCTTTATGTGGAAACCCTTAGTGAAGGCAAGAAATGGGCTTTCTAGAAAAGAGGAGGAAGAAAACCATTTTTTAGTGCTTTTACTGCTGGAGAGTCAGAATCCCTGAAATCACATCACTCAAAGCAACTACACTTTCAGTGTCAACTGAAGAGTAGCATATGAAGGACAAATGCCTATGGAGCTTAGACAGGAATGCAGAAGGCATTTAAAAATATCTTTGTAATGCTTAAATTATAAACGGAACCTAACCACAAAATTAGCTAGAGACTCATCAGCAATCCCTGCTCTGCAGAGATCAAAATCATTACAGTGCAGAAACAAGCGAACCTTGCTGGCTTTTTCATCATATCTACCTTAAAGGGAAGGATAAATGTGTAAGATGTTTTGGGGAAGAAGAGAACAGCAGAAATATTCATTGTTTTGAACAGATATTATATATTAGACTCTTCATTATTATGGAATAAGCAACCTAAGAATGACTTTGATTTGTATATGCTAAGACTTCTTTTTATTATATTTTTGAGTGGGTGTGCTGCAATATATATATGCTACTACAGAAGAAATGAATTAGAACATGTTTCAATTATCTTGCTCAGACGTATTTTAAGCCTCAAACATTACTGCACTGTCTTGTGTTTTTCAATGTTAAAACAAAGAAAATTGATCAGGCTGGTGGATTTCTGGAGGAAGTAAGATGTAAAGGGAGTAATACTGAGTTAGTTTTTGTGAAGTATTTATTAGATGTCAGCAATAACACAGAAGCTTTTCTGACCAGAATAAGGAAACCCATTCCTAGAAATTGGGGACTTTGGGATTCTAAAGCTTCTAAAGTGTGTCTTTTGTGTTGCTCTTACCCTATTGTCAGCTTTCATGTGACCTACCCTTTCCCAAGGCCTACTCCATGTCTTTATCCATCTCTATTCACTCCCAGACAAATCTCTTTTCTCAGAATAAGGAAGTCTTTTTAGGAAGTTTTTTGACCAATCCTTTTGCTCCAGATGTGGGCTAGTGCCAGTTTTTCATTTTCTTTTTTTTCTTTAAGAAAGTAGATTCCACCTATTATACAATGTCTTATATTTGTAGAGCTCTTTTTTAAGAATTGTAAAGGGATTCCTTCTTACTCTGTTATGGTGGTTCTCAAACTTTTTGTTCTCAGGACCACTTTACACTCTTAATTATTGAGGTTCTCAAAGAATTTAGTTGATTTGAATTATAGCTGTTGTTATTTATCGTATTACTAATTAAAACTGATAATTTAAACAAATATCAATTACTTTTAAAATAACAATAAATCCATTAAACTTTAACATAATAACATTTTATGAAAAAATGACAATATTTTTCAAACCAAAATAAGATTAGTGAGAAGTGTCATTGTTTTGCATATTTTTGCAAATTTTTTAATGTTTGAATTAATAGAAGACAGCTTAGTAGAAGACAGGTATAGATTTTCATATCTGTTTCTACATTTAATCTGTTGCAATATGTTATTTTGGTTGAAGTATCTCAAGAAAATTCAGCCTCATAAAGATACTTAGTTGGAAAAGGGAGGAGTATCTTAATAGGCAAATAATATCTTTATTACTATGAAAATTGTTTTGGAGGACCCTCTGAAAGGAACTCAGGATACCTGGGGGTCCGGGGATCATACTCTGAAAACCAGTGCTCTTATCAGCCCTGGTAGGTATGTTTTATTCACGTGGATGAAGTAGGTCAATTAATTCAAAGTTAATGAGGCCAGCAAGGGTCATAAATTCCATATCCGTGTCTATTGACAACCTGTGTTCTATTCCATAGTCTCAGACCTTTTACAGATTTCACCAGTGTTTGCCATTGGTCCTCAGGGAGTATAAGAAACATAATAAATCATATTTGAATGAATAAATTAAAAGGCATTCATTAAGTTTTATTATGTGCCAACTCCAATTTATGCTGTATACACCTTTTACATATGTATACAGTGGACATATCTTTTACATACATAGTTGTTTGCATGTTGCTTCCCCCTTTAGAAAGTAAGCTCTTTGAGGACCTAGGTTTTCTTTGCTTTTCTTAATCTCCTCCCCACCCCCAGTTTAACTCGGAGCCTGACACTAGTAAATTAATAAATGCTTGTTGATCTATTGTTAGGCAATCACCAAGGATACAAAAATTAGAGACTATCATTGCCCTCAAGGAGCCTCCCTTCTAATTAGGGGAAAGCATACTTGAGATTGAGTAATGGCTTGGGGAAGAGGTTTTGGCAGCAAAGTTACTGGAATCGGGATGGGAGACTTTGGGCAGGTGATTGACATAAGCTTTTCAAAAGTAGTGGTGGTTTAATTTGATTATGTTACGGAGGATTTTCTTTTCCCTTTAAAGTAAGTAGATAATCCGTGTATACTGTTATGGAAACAAACCAAAGCCTGACTCAGAGGTGGGCGGGTAAAGACTACTAAATCTCTAAAATCAACTTGCCAGGTTCTTCTTCTCTTTTTTTTTTAAGGAAGGTGAATTTCACTTCTTCCCCTTACCATCTTCCTGCATAAATTTCATAATAAGAAACTTTAGATAGAGTAAAAATACAAAAACCTATGAATGAATTAAATTAATTATGGTATTTCTTAATTACAATATCTTTAATAAACAACATTAGTTCTTTAATTTGGACTACAACCAAAAGCACCTTTCTCCTTTGTAGTAAAGTTCAAAAAGTGTCAGATTCAGAGTTAGAGGATCTAGTTTTAAATCCCACCTCATCTTAAAATGAGGAGGTTAAAAACTAAATCAAGCTGTCTCCCAGCTTTAAAACTATGCTCTTTTGCTCACTTGGTGAGTAGAAATATACGCCACTCACAGTATAAACTATATTTATACTCTAACATTTTGAATGTGTGTTGATAGAACTAAATGGCACAGTTGACCTAGAGTGAAGACCTGAGTTCAAATTCCACCTGAGACACATAGCTGTGTGACTCAGGGCCAGTCACTTAACCGTTGTCTGCTTCAATTTCATCATCTGCAAAATGAGTGCTGTTTTAGTAGTGGTGATACTTCTTTGAAATATGGGTGGTATGGGACATGATGGTTAATATTCTTTAATATTACTTGGCAGTTTCTCATCTCTTTACATTTATTAAAATAATATGAATTGACATTTCTTCAAAAGGTAAGCTC